TTCAGGAGCTTGGTGCTCAGTTTCTGTAGCAGTCCAAGCCAGGATGGCTATGGAAGGCAGTGCCCAGTGAGTGGAGAAAAGGGAGAATGTGCTTAGGGGCCTGCAGCAATTCCTCACCATGCTTTCACCAACATCATCAATGAACTGTTATCAATGAAGTGTCACAACTTGTAATGGGCTATGAGAATAGCCTTGAGGAAGAGGAGGAAGAACGCAGCCCAAGGCAATAATCAGCTAAGAGAAATCTGAGCCCAAAGCAGAAGGGGAGGTAGAGAAAGCAATTCAGACTTGACTCTCCCTAGGATAAAGGCAGGGAGGGGGGAAGCACATTCAGAGTTGCAAGATTCTGTCGCTGTAATCCTATCATAAAAGTAGTTTTATTATTCAAGGCTTTGGTGTTCAGGTCTGGTCTAACTCGAAGGGTTGACATAACTACACAGATACATCCATGTAGGGTTGTTGTTTTATGACAACACAAGTAGTTGGCTGCTGCCTTCCTTTGGGGATGTTTTGTTTTTTTGAGACCTCACCTCCTACAGCCTTGGGATTTCCAGGTTCAAACCTGCTAATTGTTTTTTGGGTTCCGCCAAGGATCAGATGTTGCTACCTGTTATCATTTAAACCAGTTTGGATTATGCACTAATATTATTTTGGGGGGAGGGGGTGTTGGTGCACTTCACTTCTTTTGTGACTAATATTTATCAGCTGACTTTAGAAGCATTTCAAACTAAGCTACTTGGAGTAAAAAAATGGGAAGGAATAATTAATCTGGGTCTCATGTAACATACATTTTTTGTGGGGTGGGGAGTGTTTCACCCAGGTGTGGCTGGTGCACCAATTGTAGCCCTACCTGGACCAGGATGCCCTGGTATCCATAATTCATACTTTTATCATCACTTGGCTGGACTACTGCAATGCACTCTGTGTGGGGCTGCCTTTGGAGACAACCTAGAAATTACAGCTGGGACAAAGCACAGCAACCAGAGTCCTGGTGGGACAATCCCACCAGTGCAGAATAACACCTATTTTAAAGTCACTGCACTGATTACCAGTAGACTTTGGACCCAATTTGAAGTTCTGGTCATTATCTTTAGAGCCTTACATAACAAAGCACCAGATTATATCAAGCAACACCTTGCCAGAATAGAATCTGTACACCCACTTTGGTCATCACAAGAGGACCTGTTGAAAGTCTCCTCCACTTCCAAGTTATATGGGAGATAACTAAAGGGCCCGATCTTCTCATAGTAGCCTACACATTATGGAGTTTTTTCATAAGCAGGCTAAAACTATCTTATTCAATTGTGCTGTAAGTCCAATTCACTGGAGCACCACATTGGTTTTTAATAGGAATAGGAAGTCTGTGGTATTAGTTGATATCTTTTAAAATTGTGTTTGTTTTTATTCTATTGTTTGCTGCCCAGAAGCCTTTGGGACTGAGGTGGCTTAGAAATATTATGAAATAAAATAAATACATGAATAAAATAAAAGGCTATTGAAAGTGCACTGATGCTCCAGATATAGTATAAAACATTGTCAACTTGGGAAAGCAGTTGACAGATACAAATTGTGAGGAATTCCTTCCTTCTGCTTGCCTGAGCAGTAAACATTGTCCTGTTTGCCAAGACAAACAGAGCTTTGTTCCTGTGTTGGTTGTGTAGCAATTTCCCATGGTTAAAGCATGTTAACAGGCCCCTGACATTACAGCCAGCTCTGAAACGATGTCAGTATATTCTACAAAAATCAGTCCTAGGCTGTGCTTCCACAGGAAAAGATTGCTGGCCAGAGGCCACACAAGGGCCTTTTACATTGTACCCTAATGGGCAGAACCAATTGGAAGCAAGGAAAAGAGGTTGAGAAGTTCATTTTTCCTCTCCATTAGCAACTTCAGATTTTGTGGGGCCCTGGTGAGTTGCTCTCAGTCCCTGGTTCTCTGCATGGTTCTTCTTTCTTCTCCTCTTCATCTCTACCCACTTTTTACCCTCTCCTTTCAGCCTTAGTCTAAAACAATTACTCAGAAACAGAGTATAAGGCTATTGGACGATGCTGATTGATTCTTCACAGCGCTGGCATACAGAGTAAAAAGGAGAACCAGCAGCTGGACTAGGAGACCACAAGTCAGCAGGGGAGACTTTGGCAGGTGTCTGACAAGTTAATCCATGGTTTCAATCCAGCCAGCCTGGGCTATACATTCCCAAGGAGTACTTAAACAAGTTATGGTGTCTTCAGGGATGTCTGCAGGGTGTGGTCAAAAAAATCAAGATGGTGGCTGCAGTGGTGCAATTGAAGGTCCACTTGGTTTCCCTGTGTGTCAGCTTCCATGAAGTGTCTTTTGTTTGTTTGTGTTGTTTATTTTAGCCCATTCTGGGCAGAAGTCACTGGGCAGTCACCTCCTGCCCCAGACCCTAGCTATGTCATATTGCAAGTGTCAATCCTATCTCTGTACCTAAACAGCACAGCAAGGAGTAGGTAAAAATGCCTGCATGTTCCATAGGTATATGTGGAATGGGAGGATATCCATCCTCTTTGTAGTCACTTTTCTCTGCCCTAGTTACCTCAGAGATGGGGTTGCTACCATGTAGCCAGATCCTATGCGAAAAATAGGCATGGCTGGCAAGCATGTGGGAAGGGGAAATGGACATTTAATGGGGAGATAAAATCAGATCCTTCTCTCTTCCCTTATGTTTTGAGGGATAACTCAGTTCAAACAAACAAAAAACATTTTACAGAAGCTCAAGGTGGAGGAATTGAGAAAAGAGTAAAATATAGATTATATGTTGTAGAATCCTTTGACTGGAATTCTATCTGGTACAGCCATAAGAATTATACAGAGTGTCCCAAAAGTCTTAGTGCAGTTTTAAGTTTTAAAGCTTAAAACTGCACTGACTTTTGCGACACCTTGTAGGGTCATCTATAAGAGCTAATGTGTTGCTACCCCATGAACTGAAAATCCCTACTTCAGCTTTGCTCAGCTTTGCACATATTGGCCTTGTTTTTAATACGTCATGAATATCTGGCCACTTTGTGAAGAAAAGTGCATTACCAAGTAGCAGAGTAGGGATGGGGAGAAATCAGATGCAAACATATCTAAGTCCACATTTTCAAAGCAATGCATAAACTGAAAGTTATCTTTCAGAATTCAGAATTCTCCCAATTATGCAATCAGTTCACTACAATAAATGTTCATTAGCGAAAATCTGCACAAAAATCCATATATTTGTGAGAATTATATACAAATTTCTATTACATTAGTGAAATGATTTGTAAAGAGTAGGTACATTAAGACAAAAGGCACACATCAGTAGAACTGTGCACCTAAAGAAGTATTTTTTTCTGTATGAACTTTTCTTTTGGAGGATGGGGAATCCTTAAATTCAACACACCAGACTTGACATACAGTACATGCAAAAATTAAAAATGGAGAAACTGAAATGGGCAAATATGCCATCCTCCAGGCAGAGGAAGCAACTCATATTCAGAAAAGAAATCTACTCTTATACAGCTTCTTTGCACCACTGCATTCACCCATTCTGCTACCTTTAAAGTCTCCCCCAACAGGTTTCAAATCTCTTTTTAGTTGAATGCCCCTTTCTCGAAGGGCCTTTCCTCATCAGCTAGCCAACTGAGAGATTAATTTGAGACAGACTGAACCCTGGGATCCATTTTTCAATGTCAGTGCTCAGTGTTAATGCGGGTGAAGGAACTGTATTGAACACAACCTTCCTTTGATCGTATCCAAAATACCTTCTCCATTTATAGAATAAACAGTACACATCACAGCATATTTGGGGGTAAGAAGAGCCATCTTCCATATTCAGGCCAATTCTCCACTAGTGACTTATAATGTTTTCTAACATCATCCAGCCATCACTGAGGCAGTATAAAGTCTGTACTCATTACCGTTATATTAGCACAAAGAGAGTTGGGTAATTATAGAAGCCCTGCTCTTCTCATTTCAGGAATTAGTATATTATCAGCCTCTAGCTGTACAAAGATTCTATAGTGAAGTCCATTATAACATTGCCTAAATGAGGACAAAGGGACATTCAAAAGAAAATGGAAGGCCAGTTAATTTTAGTAATATGAGTATAGGATACTGGAAGGATGCAGCAGTCTCATCCCTGCTTTTTTGCTTTTTCCTCCCTCCACCTGCATTCATCTGTCAGTGTAAAACTCACACCACCAAGCCCCCCAGCATCTTGTTGCTTGCTACTGCAGGCAGCTTGGTGCAAACACTTGAATGGCAGCCAATAAAGAAGATGGGCAGTCCAGACAAAATATGTGGCCCACCAGCTCAGGAATTTCTTGGATACAAAATCAAGATGCATTCTCAGAACACCTAGATTAGTTGGCAGGATAGACAGCTAGCACTCCAGCAAAGAGAAGCGAAGACTGGGAAATGAAGTCTGTTTACAGATAGGGAGACTGACTCATTAGAGGTGGGAGGAAGAATAAGATGGAGGAAATCAAGGGAGAAAAATTGATGAAAAGGTAAGGAAGGAAGAAGCTCTTTGATGAAAATAAAAACTACAAATTGGATAAATGTTTAAAATAGAGGAGGAAGGAAAGAGAGGGAATAGAAAGATAGGCTAATGGATTGATGAATGAGCCATCTTGCCATGAAGGATTATGATTGTAGCATTGGTGAAAAAATCAAGAGATGAGAGAAGGAAGACCAGAACTGTTGCTATGTTTCACAGCGTGCCTTCAGTCATTGTTGGGCTACAACTCCATCATTGGCTGAGTATGATGGGAGCTGTACTCCAGTAAACATTTATGGACAAGTAAAATAGGTACACTAAGACAAAAGGGATTGGAATAAAATTGTTTTGGAGAAAGAAAGACAGCTGTAAGAAAGAGAGAAGACAGACCAGTGGATACTTAGGGGAAAGATGACAGGGACCCAGTGCAAAGACTGAAACAAGGATTTTCATCTTTTGCCAGGGGATTCTATCATACCTGCTCTGTTCATTACCCAATGCCCCTACCCCAGGACTGACCTTATGGAGTTTCCACATGGCGCCCAGCGCCTTCACCTCATGACTGGAATGCTTGCCTTCCTCCAGACACTGGTAACAGACAGGTATCTTGCACTGCACACAGTACATGCTGTGATTCTCTAGCTCATGGTCAGTGCAAGTGGAGATCTTGCGTGGGCTGAGCCTCCGGCTGACCCGGCCCTGAGCTGGAGGCACCAGGCGGTGCTTAGCCAGGGGGCCCCGTGGCGGATGGCAGCGCAGCCGGCATGGGTCACAGTAGAAGACGTCGCACTGTTCACACATGACTGTGGCCTCCTTGGGTGCCTTCTCACACAGTTGGCAGCGCAGAGCAGCTGCCTTGCTTTGCTGGTAGCGATCAATGACACCCTCCAAGACGCGATTCTTGGGGAAACCACGCAGGCCCCGCTCATCCAGAATTAGGCTGCGATGGCACTGCGGGCAAGTGAGGCAGGAATTGCGTGGCACTGGTGCCAACGAGGCAGCAGCTGAAGCCGGTGGGAGATGTGCAGCTGGCGGGACAGTTGGAGGGAAGACACGCACGCCATTGGGTGACTTCTGACATGGTGTAGTGGGCGCACTGGCAAAGCCGCCGTATGAGCCATAGCCGCTGTCTGCCTCACTGTACAGGCTCATCTTGTCCAGGTCCAGGTAGTCATAGTCGGATGAGGAGCCAGCCGACCCTGAGGCACGTCGGCTCTGAGGTGACTCCGTCTCTGGCGTCTGCACCAGGATGTTTCGGGCACACGCCTGGCACAGGTTGTGTGAACAGGGTAGGATTAATGGTTCCCGGTAGAAGGAGCCGCACACCGGGCATTTGAGCTCCTCTTCCATCTCTTCCATGGGGCTCTCTCAAGGCGTTGGAGCCGCGGTCCAGCGGCCGCCAGTAGGACAGCGGGCTGAACAGTGAGCGCGCTTTCAGTACCACGGACAGCGAACCAGCCAGCGAGCCGCGCTCGTCTCCAGCTTGGCTCGCCTCGAGCCAGCCAGATCAGCAATGCCAGCGCCAGACTCCTGCAGCCTTCCCACCTCTCCGTGAGCCCCGCCCTCCTGGCTTGCTATTGGTCGTTTGCGCCGAGTGCTGAGGCGCCATTGGACCAAGGCGGTCGCCTAGACCCCGCCTGCCTTGGGGTACTTCGCTCAGCCGGCCTGCTTCTCCCCCCACCCCCGCCTGATCCTCTGGATGAATAACGGATAGGCGGAGGTGCTGCTGTGAAAGACGGACAGCGCCTCTGAACCGGAGCGATGGAGAAGGCACAGCCTGATAGACATCCTCGGACATGCAACTGGTCGTCATGGCGGGAGGGGCAGGCAGGTGTGTGTGTGTGTGACGGTGTGTGGGGTTCAGGGATACAACACGCATGCGCTTCTTGCAAATGCCCTGTTCCATTAAAATGAAGAGTTAGTCATTAATCTCGTTAATAACCGCTTCCTTTTTCTACTGCCGGGAGTAGAAGTCTTAATGGCAACAGCCCTCCCTTACTATTTTCTTTCTTTGCACAGGTTGGTATTCAGAAGTACTCCACCCTCAAAGTACTTTATCAGGTTTCTCCTGAGGTATTGGTATCCTCAGGACGGACTGGTCAGAAACTTGCAATTCCCAGCCAGAGACTGCTAGCAGCGAATTTTGAAAGATTTAATCTAGCATATCTGAAAAGCACCAGGTTGGGGAGATTGTGTTTCATTTAGAGATGCGCACTCTGCCATCCTTTTCCTTGACTTTATCTAACTTTAAGTACTCAGAGTATCCATCACACATCATAAAATTCTAACGAATTATGCCACTGGGTAAAAGAGAATCTGGTCTATTTGTTGGAAGTCCAACTGTTATTACAAGAGGGAATCAAAGACAATTCTTGGGCTTTATTCACTCTGCAATTTACCATGTTATAAGCTTTATCATTTTCTCCCCATATACTTGTCTTAGAGGGAAGTCATAGTTCAATGATAGAGTGTACACTTTGCAGACACATAGACTGTTTACCCATTCATTTTTCTTTCTGTTGATTGCAGTAAAAGAGAACTGTGCTGAATGCTGAGATATTGAATTTAAATACATCACTCTTATTTAAATACTTAAATACATACACTCAATACAACATTCCTTGTTTCAAGTTCATATGTCTGCTTGACTGTTGTTTCCATTTTTTCAAAAGGGAAGGATAAGGATGCAACATTATACAAAACAATGGACTTCCATGGTGCCATACTTCCATTCCCTATTCCCTTAAAAGGAATTTGAAGCCAACCTGCAATAATCATAAACTCAAAATGCAGAGAAACATAGAAGAAACTTCAGATCAGTACAAATATTCAGGATAATATGTTCCCTTACCCCAGTTTGGGGTAACAGAACCCCAGTTTATCCCCAGCATTTATTTCCAAGAGTCTCAGGATTGGGAAATACTTCTCAAACATACTGATTTATTATCCTTTAGTAATTAATTTGGAAACTAAATTATTCAACCAAGCAACTAAATAACTATGCTAGAGGAAGTAGCATAACTTCTTCAGATGTAACTCTAACCTACTTAGTAAGAAATGTAATATAGGAATGATGCAAAGACTTCCAAAAAGTATTTGACAATGTTACTTGTTAAAGGCTCCTAAGCAGCCTTGGGAATAATAAGACAAATCTTCTCATGAACTAGTAAGTGATTTGAGAATAAAAAGGAGAGAGTAAAAATACACAGGCATTTTTCACCATGGAAAGATAAAGAATTTAGTTTTGAACTAGTCATCTTCATAAATGGTCTGGAATTAGGTGATCGGTGAGACTAGTGAGATAGCCAAGCTTGTTCATAATGCAAATTATTCAGGGAGGCTAGAACAAAAAGAATGTTGCAACAAGTTCCCAGTTTTCTAACAATAGCAGTATATAAGTTTGGGATTCCATTTTCTTTACCAAGAAAGTCAAAACACATTTTGCTTGTTCTTTTTCCTGGAAAAGGACACCATTCTAGGCAACATCAAGGTCCATAGAAGGCTTTTTTTAAAGAATAGGAGGTGAGTTTAGGCTGGTAGATTAAAAATCTTCCAGTGTGATGGCATTTGGGTGTCTGAAGCCAAAACCCCTAATAGAATCCACTCCGCAATAGGTGTAATCAAATAAACAGCTAAAGAATTGGCAGTTTTGGCCCTTTCATTTGGATCCCAGCCTCTGTCACCTGACATGCTGCCTTATACTTCCCAATTGTAAGGACAACTTTAATTAGTCAAATGGTTGCTTCCCTGATACCAGGAAATTCCAATTTCTTCACTCCATCCTTTTAACTGCACAGATGCTTTAGGGAAAGCATTAGGCAGGAACACACAGCCATTTTTGGCTGGAATCAGCTACAGGATCCTGTGTATGTATTATCACAGTCTCTTGACAGCAGCTTCCAGATGCTCATTTGTAATCATGATTGCTTTTTCTAGTTGCATTCCTCCTCTCATTCTAAACCTGGCTTTCCTTTGGTGAATAGAAGAATCATTTCCCCCCTCTCCCCTTTCTCTTTTTCTCCCCTGAGGATTGCCTTGATCATTTGTCATCAAACCTGGATAAGAAATATGGGAGTGTCCTGTTTAACATACAGATTGGCTACCAACCTGCCAAGGAGTTGCTCTTGATCTAACCCATCTCTTGATCATGTACCATAATCTAACCCTGCAGTTTGCTCCCAGACACAGCATCTCAGCACCTTTCTAAGTAAGCAAGGCAAGGCTTTGGATCATACAAGATGCTGCTGATCCTTCTTGTCACATTTTGGCTATGAAAGCAACAACACTTCTAAATGTGACTGTAATAATTTGTTCCTCTGGTTGCTAACTCTTTGAAGAGACTCCAGAATGAATGGGAACGGGAAAGATTTCCTGATTCCTCGTGCATGCCGTTTCTGTTTTGTTTTTTGTCTTCTCAAGTGTCTTGGTCTAGAAGCAAGATCTTGCTGTTGTGACAGAGCTATAGTATATGTCTCCTTCAGTTTTCTGAAGTGGACACACAACGGCACAGTTCAACTTCCTGAAACTCTTTCCATTTTTAAAAGCAAGTTTCTAAGCTTTATGATCACAAAACAGAGAAGTGACAATGGGTGGGTGCTGTCTGTGAACATCTCAATCCTAAGTAGACAGGGAGGATAATTTATAGAAGTCAGAATTTACATACCTCCTTACCTTTGCTCAGAGGACTGGATAATTCTTGAAGTTCACTGGCCCAATTTATCTGGGCAACACCAGGTTGGAAAACATTGGATTAAAGTATTTGGGAGAAAATTTGGGAACACTCATGTAAGTTTTCTGCACGAAGTACAACAGTATTCTGCTCATTAATTAGATGTGGCAGTAAAGAGGATTAAAAAGTGCCAACTCAAGAGAACAACCAGTTGGCATACAATGTTTTCGAAGAAAATGATAGATCATACAAGCATCCTGACAGCAGTTTGAGGAGGAAGTGGGTTGAGAACACTTTTGTTGGCAGTGAAATGCCAGAAGCATTGACTCTTTGCACTTCTCATCCTGTTGGTCCCTAGAAGGAAGGAGCAGAGATAGCAAGAGACTCCTTTGTTTTTGCTCTGCTTTGCTCTGGTTGGAAGTCCCTTCAAGCTTTTTGTCCTTCTTTCTTCTTCTATCCCCTGCCACAAAAACAACATCTCAGAGATGCAAATTTCTATCATTTATTTAATTTTTTATTTTGGGTGCCTTCAAGCCCCTGCAGTTTTCTGGCCTTATGCCCATGGTGGGACTAGAACTCACGGTCTCCTGGTTTCTAGCCTGGTGTCTTAACCACTGCACCAAAGTGACTCAAGTTTCTATTAGAAAAACCTAATTTTCTTAATTAATTTTACTTATTCTTTGAGACTTTAAACAGCTTTCTCTAGATACTCTTAAAGGACTTGTATTTTTCACATATATATGCTCTGCAAAATACAAACCTTGGTGAATTAATAGAGGGTTCCAATCAAGATTTCTTCAAAAACAAATTCTCTGCAATGTTAAATGCATGGAAACTATTTATATAGTGATATATCACTAGGCTCTGCTGCTTGATATATTTTGAGTTGGTCCTTCTTTCTGTTTAGGAAGGATTTTCAGTCCATTTTTATGTACTGCTTTTGAACCATTGTCCTGTCTTGGATTTTGAGACTGGACCACTAAAAGTATGGTTATACAGTATATACTGAAATGAAAATCTACAAAAAATTGCTTAAAGACAGTGAGATGTAGAGTAGTCAGTAAGCTGGTGCAGAAGACAAATGCCAAATCAGTCTTTATCCTAATTGGGATTACAAAAGATAAAAACAAGTGAGCAAAGGTCAGGGTCCAGAAAATAAACAGCCAAGGTACAGAGAGGTCTATCAGATAGGCATGAATCAAGACACAAGAGTAGCTGCTTCAAACGGAGGGTTTATACAGGAAGCTACAGTTATCCTATAGTTATCCTACTCTTAATTAGTGCTCTTGAAACCTTGATAGCAAAGCCATCAGGATATACTGTGCTCCTCTCAAGTAAATCTTTATTCCCAAACTGCTCCTCTGGTAGTCATCTTTGGGTATTCAATCTGGAGATGGTGCCATTTATGTGAATTGGGTGCTGGTGAATCTAGGTTAAAACCTTTCTGATCTAGATCCTATGCTAGGGCGTGACTCTTACAGTGCTGAGGGTTAAACTGGGTCATCTGAGCCATCTTCCTCTGAGCAATCTTCTTCATATGAGGCCTTGACAACCACCAACTCTTTCTTCCTCCTCCTATTCTCATTTTTGATAATAAAATAGTAGACTGGTCATAATATTGGTGTGGAAAGAAATAGGACATGAACTGTGTGATTATCCCAGCAATGGGGATTAAGGGGAAGGGGGGAAC